TTCTTCCACTGAGGATAAGTAATGGCCATTGAAAAAAGATGCTCCTTTAATTCTTGGATATTTTATTATTAACTCTTCAGAGGAGGTTATGTTTTTGGTAGCATTTATATCCATGCATGCCAGCATTTTGTTTGTAAACATGACAGCTCAATTATAACATTTATTGTTATTTATTGTTTTTGTTGCTATGCAAATGCATTTGCATTTAAATATCTTGTCAAATTTGACCTCGAATGTCATTTTTTCATTTCGCATCTGCCTTTTTGCAGGTTGACCCCACGATGTGTTAAATTTTTATAGAAAGTTTTATTGAGAGAAAGAGAAAATTAGCTAGAAATATATTGTAGTATTATATTGTAAAATAAGCACAAGTTATACTATTATCTATTACCTATTCCTATATAACATTTTTGTAATTAAAGTAAAGCTACCCTTATCTGATTTTTACTGCAGTACTAACATCTTAAAGTACTTTTAAGGAAAAAAGAAAGAAAAGAAAGATATTAAAATTAAAACACTATTCCCTTAATATTAAACATGTGTACCTCTCTGAACTGCAGGTGTATTCTGTCAGGCCTGATGCGATGAATGTCACCGAGAAACGGGAGAGCCCACGGTCCAGGTGGGAAGTTTTTCGGCACTCTGTACTTCCAAATATCAGACAACAGCAGGAAAACACAGAGAAATATTAAAATGCTCCTTCCATCTATCCACTCAAAGCCAAGAACACTGTATAATGTCTCCATTGAAAGTTCTTAATGTCGCATGCTGGATTACTGCAGGGTTTTAACTGTGATGCTACCACGAAACAAAGTGCGATCAGATAAATGGGTGGACTTCCTTAAAACACAAAGGTGAAGCTAAGACTAGCCTTCAAAATAAAAGCTGATAATGGTGGTGTTATTTTCAGTTTTTTTACACATAGGACATTATTACATGCAAAAAGGCTACACATAAAATTATGTATGAAGTACTGATTACTGTCTCAGTAATATCGGTGATTGACATTGTGAGGGAAAAACAATTATTTCCTGCGTAAAACAAAGAATAACCCACCAGCACAGCCAACCCACCTCCTAAAGAAACGCAAACAAAGACATGTATATGTAGATATGTAAACAGTGTCCAGTAACTTTATACCATTTCATAATGATGGAGAGGCCAAACTATTGAGTGCTGCATTATTAACTGGCTGAATAAAACAATGATATAGCTTCCAAGCAAGCCTGAATACGAACTACCAAGCTAACAATTACGCATGTTTAATTCTAAAAAAACATGGTTGACTCATGTAAGTAGAACACGAGGAAAGAAAAAAAGAAGTCTGGTTGCAAATTTTGAAGCCAATATGATAACCTTATTACACCAACGATGTGGAGGTCTAGCTTTTTAGATCCAATCTGGTCTTTAAGTCTGACTTCATTAGCCGTTTCCGGGCCCAAACTCCGCTTCAGGTCCCAAAATCAAACAAACACTGTGGCATTACATTACTGTGGAGTTACAAACTGTCTAAATTCTTTCATCTTTAATCAGTGTGGCTGCTCTAACAGGTAACAATTAAGTTTAACATCCAGGCATCCATGAAAACAGGATTAATAAAATTTATGGAGTTAGAAGTTAGCAGGGAGTTAGCTCGCTAGTTTCCACCTAAACATAATATACCAGGTTCTGACAGGGATTTCTGAAAAAAAGTAAGATATACAGCTCTGCTATCACTGCGAACATTGAGGAAGACAGCAAGCTAAACAGTAGTGATGTTTGTAGGGTTACTGAAGTTGGACTAGCTGGTATATAATGATGTGCTACGTGATCGCTAGTGACACACTTGTGTTAGCATAATAGACTTTGACAGTTTTGAGGGAGAGTGAGTCCAAAAGTCCGCAAAACTACAGATATCAAAGCAACTGCAGAGCGAAAACAATTAATCCTCCTGACAACTTTGTGGGGTTTACTGCCAGGGGTATGCTACTATATCCATTAAGGAAGGGTTTTTCTCAGCCTTTGTCAACGGAGACGGGCAAAAAGAGTCCCAGGTCCACTCTCAGCCAGGCCAAGTTTGTTTACTATATTGGTTAAAGATGGGTGATGCATCACCTTCTGACAGCGAAGACGGGCAAATAGCCTCACAGGTGCATCTTAGCAGGGCTGAGTTTATTTAACCCTTTCTTTGGACTTATCACCATTGGCCATAACACAATCAAAGGTTACTTATTGATCCTAATTACTACATTTGAGACAGTATTGGTCAACATGTCCTCATACAACAAGTGGCACACACTTCATTAAT